CTTAGCGGCTGAGGCAGAGCCAAAGGCTGCAGAGGCGCTTGCAGCAGGAACGGAGAGTCACAGGTTCTGACCCTGCCTTTCTTGGCTGGTCCCGCCAACAAATGACCACTCATCCCAGCTGCCTTCCAGGTACGCCGCCTTCAGGTACATACTCAAGTGATGCAATGTGAACCACCTGCTCAGGTGACCCTCTGGGCTGCCGCCACACACCAACCTCTTACACTGCAGTTAAAAACACAGGCCTGCTTCGGGGATAAAGCAGAGGAAGCAGTTTGGCAGCAGCTCATTTACAAGGAGCAGTTTGAGGGAACTGGGGGGGTTTACTCTGGAGAAGAGGAGGCTGAGGGGAGACCTCCTGGCCCTCGGCAACTCCCTGCCAGGAGGGGGCAGAGAGGGGGGATGAGTCTCTGGAGCCAAGGCCCCAGCGCCAGGCCCCGAGGGAATGGCCTCAAGCTGCCCAGGGCAGGGTCAGGCTGGCTCTGAGGAAGGATTTCTGTGCAGAAGGGGCTGTTGGGCGTTGGGATGGGCTGCCCAGGGCAAGGGGGGAGTCCCCGGGATCCCTGGAGGGGTTGAAGAGTCGGGCTGAGCCAGCGCCGAGGGATCTGGGGGAGTTGGGAACGGTCAGAGGGAAGGTCATGGTTGGGCTGGAGGAGCTGCAAGGGCTTTTCCAACCCAGATGATCCTGGGATTTACTCTCCCACAATTTCACTTTGCCATCCATACACATCCCACACTGTTCCTTCCTTGCTCCATCTGTTTCAGGTGAGTTTACACCATTGCAGAAGTTTTCTGTGCAAGAAGAGTTAGTTGTACACAGATCAACCAGCTTTTCATCAATGGAGAAGTGACGGATCTAGAGTCACACCTTCCAGGCAAGGAAAGGGCAGAGTAGGACAAGCCTCAATGCCTAAAGCAAGGCAGGAATACGTGACCCAGTATCTGAGATTTGTGCCTGGATCAGCCACTTTCTCAAGGCTAAAATAGCAAAGAAAAAAAAAAAAAAAGCTCCCCAAACAAACAAGACCCATAGGAAGAGACTGACCGGGGCTTTGCTCCCCGCTGCAGCAGCCCGGGGTGTCAGCAGGGATTCCTCTCCTTCATACAGTTTAATTTGATCTCCAGCAAAGTGCTGTTACCCGCAGGTACCAGCGCTGCCGAGCACGTGAAGATGAGGCACCAGCGCAGGGCAGAAACGATGTGCTTCGAGCGCTGAGCGTGAACCCACCCGCTCTTATCAAAGTTCCTGTTGACTCAGTAAAACCACAATCTTACCAGCAAAGCTACTTCTGCCCAGTAAGACCAAACTCCTGCCCGCAGGGTGTACACAGCTTTACTGGCCTCTGCCTGCCGGTGCAGCTGTGCCAGGCTGGGAGTGATTCCTCCATCGGAGACCTGCTTGCACATTTCAGCCCCGTGCCACCCAAACCAAGGCCAGTAAACACAACACCAGTGCAGAACTGGTGCCAGGAAGCGGCCGATGCTGCCCACGCTGTGCTTTATATGCTAGATCATAGAACAATCAGGTCACAGAATGGTTTGGCTGGGAAGGGACCATAAAGTCCATTCAGTCCCATTCCCCTGCCACAGGCAGGGCCACCTTCCACCAGCCCAGGTTGCCCAAAGCCCCGTCCAACCTGGCCTTGAACCCTGCCAGGGAGGGGGCAGCCACAGCTGCTCTGGGCAGCCTGTGCCAGGGCCTCACCCCCCTCACAGGGAACAATTTCTGCCTTAGACCTGATCTAAATCTCCCCTCTGTCAGTTTAAAACCATTCTCCCTCGTCCTATCCCTCCCCCTGATGACGAGTCCACCCCCCCTTTCCTGCAGCCCCTTTCAGCCCTGGGGGGCCGCTCTAAGGTCTCCCCGGAGCCTTCTCTCCTCCAGCTGAACCCCCCAGCTCTCCCAGCCTGTCCTCACAGGGGGGCTCCAGCCCCCCGAGCACATTTGTGCCCTTCTCTGGCCCCACTCGAGCAGGTCCATGTCTCTCTTACACTGGGGGTCCCAGATTAGATTTTTCTCCTCACCCTGGTCTGCATTTAGGATCTTGCTCATAGATTTAACTGCAACAGCGTTTCCATCAGAGACGTCTCCAGAAAAACCATCACCTGGGAGCGGGTCTTTGCTGTCTGCTACATAAACGAGAAGGTCGCTGCAGTTGCCTGGACCCTCCCAAGTTCAACTGCCAGCACCGTCTGTAGAGGATGGAAGCCCCCTTCTCACCACACAGGCCCTGAGAGGGAAGGCGGCAGCACCACAAATCCCTTCAGCACTTCTGGAAACAGGCTGAACACACGACAGTCTCCCCCTTTAAGCAAAAGCACTGTCTTCAGAGGCAAAATTAGTCACTCTATGAGGCCTGGCTCAAAGCTGAGTGCATTTTGCTTACCTTTCCCCAGCACCCACACAAAACCACTACCTTACACTGCCTTTCTAAACACAAAGTTTACTGATGAATCCTCATACGATCCGTCTTCCACAGGAAGCCTCACGCTATCTATCACGTCGGTCAAACTCGCTCTACCGAGTCTATTTATCTCCACCCCATCAGCTCTGAGTGTGCTGAAGTAAAGTGTGAGCAAGCCCTGACCACCCTATCCCCCCCAGACTGCTCCAGGAGGAGACCAGCCCCACGCCGAGAGGCTCGCACAGCTGCACAGGACATCACGTCACCTGCTTCGCTCCCCGAGTGCCTCACACTTGTCCTAAGTGTCCTGCAAGCTTAAACGATACCCCACAAAGCACCCCAGAAGGACGGCTGCAGCGTGGCCCAAAGTGACGGATCCTAGAACAAGAGCAAAGCAAAGTTGTCGAGGCAAAACCTTTCGGCTTCGCTGCTGGTGCGGGAGAAGAAAAAATATGGCGAACACCCTCCCCTCCACACAAACACACAAGCCAGTGTTCCCCTGCGTAAAGGATGCCGCATATTTTGGCCCAAAATCAGGCCCTAGGGATTTCAACTGCCACGGCAGAGCCCATCAGCGCTTACAGCAGCTTCCTTCAAAGGGCTCCAGCGCTTTCCACGAGATGCAGACCACCACGGGGATGCTGCCTGGCATGTTGCTGTGGGTCTGACGGTGCGGGGAGCAGCCCCAGGGCAGGAGCCCCGCGGTCGAGCCCCTGGGCTGGCCGCACTCCCACGGCCATGCAGACCCACAGGTCCCCCAGCTCCCTCCCCCGTGGCCCCCTCACAGCACAAGCTGGCGAGGTGCCGACCTCACTGCCACGCCACAGCCACCTCTCGACCAGCCAGGAAGAGGTTTGGGGTGGGGGGGGACACAGGCAAGCTGCCACAGCGCCGCTCCCAATCACACCTACACGGTGCCCCCCACTCCTAGGGCCAGACTTGGGCAGGGGGGGACACGCACACATCCAACGTGATCACAGTAACGTTGTAGGCCGTGAAGGTGTGACCCCACAGCCGGCACACGATCACGCTGCCCCCCACTTCAGCCTGTCCTACCTCCCCTGGGGGGCGGGAAACAGCCTGGGGGTGCTGGACGTTGGACCCCACACGGCATCCTTGTCCCTGCTGGGAAACAGGCTGGAGAGGGGGCAGTTTGCAGGCAGATACCCCTAGACTCGCTGCGGGGCACACAACGGTCCTCCTGTCCCCTCCCGCAAGGGGGGGTTCCCACGTCCTCACTGCACCCAGCACCCCCCCGTGAAACAGCTCGGGAGGAGCAGGGAAAAGCATTTTATGACACCGCACTGCACCGGCCCCACGGCACGGCCCACCTGGGGAGCCGTGCGGGGGGTGGAGGCGCGGGGGGGACCTGAACGGAGCCGAGCACCCACCGCACTGCCCC